TGGAAAGCAAGCTTTGTATTCACATTTTAAAAATAAAGGTGAGTCACTAACTTTGGAGGCCTCTATTATCTATAAAGTGGGGATGGAGTGACAAGGTTACACTGTATGATTTCTAAGATTTCTTGTAGCTCTAACTTCTAAAATGAGGGTGGGGCCCTGACTGGCATGGCTCGGTTGAGCATCATCCAGCAAAGAGTTGCTGGTTCAATTCCTGGGTTTCAGGTCTAGTCCCTGGTTGGAGTGCATGCAAGAGGCAGCTGGTCAGTGTTTCTCTCACACGTCAATGTTTCTGTCTCTCCCTTCTCTCTCTAAAAGTAAATAAATAAAATCTTTTAAAAAACAAAGTGCGGGTGGGGTTTGGAGTAATTGAAATGAGGACTGGGTTGGCAACTAAGTGGCAACTTAAAGATTAGGACCCAGAGTTTTGTCCTCAGTGTCACTAAACAGACTTTTAGGGAGCTCAGGGGCATCCTTTACTCTTTTCCCTACCAGCCAGCTTGGCAGTGTTTCCTCAAATATCTCTCTGAACATTCTTCTAGGTACTAACACCCCTGCATTATCCTGGCCAGGTCAACTTCAACCCTCTCCCAGAGCACTGCACCAGTCTCCTCTCCTTTCATCCCGCACAACCCCCAGCCCCATACTGGACCTGGATGCCCTTCCAGACACATTACTTTGGTCATACTGGTGTCACACAGATGTGACAAGACATTTCAGTTGAAAACACTTGGTGAAAAGCTACTAAGTAAAAGGCACAGGTTCAGCCATGCCCAACTTTCTAGAGGAAGTCAGACACACATTGAAGCCCGAAACCAGAGGGAAGAAATGAGGGAAGTGGTGTGTGTAGGTTCAGAGGCAGAGCCGAAGTGAAGCTGGAGTACTTTAGGCTGTCACACTGTCCTGACAGACCTGAGTATGATTTGGAGGGGTGGAAGGTACAGGCCAAAGCACCAAGGCTAAGCTGGACATCACAGGAGAGAAGACAGTACAAGAAATCCTCTTCTGGGGTGTGGGAGAGTCAGTCTGACCTCCGAAAGAATCCTATAGCAATGGGATTCTCCCTCTTCAGTCACTCTGGTTTTCCTTTGAAGAGACACCTTCTGCCATGCTCAGCTCTTCCCAGTCTCAGATGGGTTCATGATCCAGTGTTTACCAAGTAGCATAATCTATCTCCCCGGTTAAAAGTATTGGTGCAGGGTTAGTATTCTGTTTCAACCCCAACTGGTGTACTGAAGTTCAATTCTGGCACTAACTACCCAAGGTTAGCACAAACCCCCCAGGTTAAGGGCTCAATTATTCACAAGACTGCCCATGTCAAATGCCAGCTGCACTTCTGACCAACTGGCTACATATCTCGGAGTTTCCCATGACCCTACCCCCACCCCCCATACACACACACTTTGGCAGTTTGCTAGAAAAACTCATAGGCTACAGGAAACTGCTATACTTTATGATTACAGTTTTACAATAAATGATACAAGTCAGGGACAACCAAAGGAAGAGACACAGGGTGAGACACAGGGTGAGGTCTGGGAGGGTCCAAATGCAGAGCATCCTTTCCCTCTCCCCACAGAATAGGCATATTGGCCTCCCGGAACATCAGTGTATTTGCCAACCAGGAAGCCCCATTGAACTTCACTGCTCAGAGTATTTATTGGGGTTTCATTATTAGTCATGACTGATTAAATCATAACCCTGTGAATTCAATCTGCAGGCCCCCATCCCCTCCCTGGAGGCTAAGCTGGCTCAAAATCCTGACCCTCTTATCACAAGATTGGTCTTTCTGGTGACCAGCCCCCATCCAGATTACCTAGGGGCTGGCCATGAGTCACCTCAGTAAAAACTCAGGTGTGGTCTAAGGGGCCCATGAATAACACATGTCTATCGCTCTGGAAATACCAAACATTTTTAATTCTCTGTGCTGGGAACATGGGACAAGTATCAGACAAATTCATTATACAACAGACGGTCATTGGGTGACCCAAGCTGAACTGATGAGACTCAACCTTATTGCATTGGTAGGAGCTACTGGGAAAGCTATGGTCTTTTTCTTCTAGGGTTGTTACTAATCTGGTAGAATGTAAGCTTGCAGCAGCAGGTAGCCATCTTGCTACCTGTGAGGGTACAACCTGCCTGAGAGTGAAGATAGTCCAGAGGAAGCAGAGCTAAGAGAAGGAGACCAAGTTCAAATGGGCATTGTCTGAGCAGGCTCCAGCCATGCCTGAAGTCATTCTACCTTTGATTTTTCAATTCTGTGAACCAACAAACTCCCCCTCTTCTTGTTAAACCAACCTTAAATTGGGGTTTCTATTACTAGTAGCTGAACATCGTGCGTACTGCATGTGGTGTTACCGAGGAAGAAGTGTTTCTTACTTTCTTGTTAATGGCTTGGCTTAACCCAGTCTCTGGATCCCATCCTTCCCACCTTCCCCAAAACTCATTCCTTCAGTTACCATCCTCTCTACTGGTGGATTTCTCCTTAGATTTCTGACATAAGTAGGTCTCCCTCAGGATATAAACAAGCAAATCTTCCTTCTCTCTCCAACTACAATGCTCCGTATCTTTTTCCTTCCCTTTTTGGCCAAACTGTGTAGGACAGCTCTCCACATCCCCCCTCTCAGTTAATCACCTTTCATTTGTTCCTAGATCTCCTATCATTTGGCTTCTGCTTCCTTCACTTCCCTACAATGACTCTCACCAAGGCTACTCAGCAATGGTAGTCATCATTGTCTTGTACAGGAGACGACAGCAGTACCATGAATCCTTATCTGTCATTTGTTTTTGCCCACCCCACACACGTACACTCCTGGTCTTTGGTGTGTAGTTTCTACCAGAACTTTCAGGATTTGTTGTTTCTGTTTTTAGGACAGCCCTCAGGCTACTGGAGGCTTTGCCTTGGAATTGACATCTCCCGGGGTAACCCTTGGTCAGCTGCTGAGCGATGTTGGCATATGTAAGGCCCAGTTCCCTTGCTGTCTGACAAAGCTGAAACATAACTTGCACCCAGAGCTCCGCTGTGAGATCAAGCTGCCTGAGATTACAAGTTTGCCTGGCTTCCTCTGCTTTCCTCTCCTGCTGCTCCCACTCCCTTACTGGTTTCTTCTGGTAACACTTTTTAAATAAATCATTTGCACACAAATCCTCATCTGTTTCTGCTTCTGGGAAACCTGACCCAAGACATCATCTCAAGACTTTTTACACCTCTTCTTTGCCTGCCTGTTAAGTGTTGCTTGTTCCCGAGAATTAGGCCCTGGATCTCTTCTCTTTACATATATTACCCAGACAGTCTAATTCATATCCATGGTTTCAACCACTGCTTGTGTCTGATCACCACCTAACTGCTTTGTGCAGCTCAGACCATAGATCACCTCTGCTACAAAGTTCCACCTAGCTGGCCACGGGTACTTCCAGTACTGTCTAATACAGTAGTCAGTGGCCCTGTATCAAGGGCTTAAGAGCCACATGAGGCTAGTGGCTGCCACACTGAACAGTGCTGATACAGAACATATTGTTGGACAGCTTAGGCACATTTCCAAACTTAACCTCATCACTAGCCCCTTGCCTTCCTTATATTCCTCACCTGTGTCTCTGTCCTGGACCACAGTGGGTCCAACTGCAGCAAAAGGATGTGTGAGGGTATCAGGAAGGAGGAAGATGACCAGAGAACTAACACCTTTTTCATTGATATCTTTCTGTGAACTGGGTCAATGGATGACTAAAGATGGTGATGGAGACAAAGGGCATCTGTGAGCTGATGCTGGTTCAGTTACAGCTGTAGAAGCTGGAAGACTAAGGCTGGATAGTCCAGAACTTGCCCTTCCACAATGAAATTTTCCAACTCCATCCAGCAGTCTCAGCCTTGAACATTTCCATGTGAATTAAGGCATTTACCCATCACCAAACTCTTGGGTCACTTGCCTCTGTGTTCCAGGATGAACACTTAATCCAAATCAGTAAGTTAAAGTCAATTTTGGGATATTGCAAATCTCAGAAAAGAGGCACGCTCCTATTAGAGTTGCTAAGCTATTAGGACTATAGTCCTAATGGTTTGGAGCTATAGAAAGCTATTTCACCACCAAGAGAGGAAAGCCTGCCTGAGAATGAAGCCAAATGTGTGGGGAAAGCAGAGCCTAGAGAAGATGAACCACAGGTTCCAGATAACTTTTGGCCCTTTTATTCAGCTAGCCCTGAAGAAGCTTAATCTACTCTGGAATTTTCAATAGCTTGAGTAAATAGATTCCCTTATTGCTTAGGGCAATTAGAGTTTGGTCAGTGAGAGACTTGAATTGATTAAGGATTTCTTCATGCTCTTGACTTAAACTACCCTCTATACCTTAATGATTCTCAATTCCTCTATCTGGTCTTGATGGCTCTTCTAAACTGCAGACTGTATGCTCACCTGCCTCCAGACGTCCACGAGCACGTCCCAAACTGACCTTATTATTTTTGGCTCCCTCAGTCGCACCCCTACTCCCGCCTTTATTTTCTGTCAGAGATGGAGTCTACTCCAACCTCCAGCCTGTTTCCTCGGAGAAGCCAAGGTCGCAAGTTCATGCTCCGCCTCCTCGCGGGGCCTCACCAAGGTCACCCGTTTGTTCCCTTGCCCAGCTCCTTGAGGGCAGTAAGCCGTCAGCAGCCGGGCCAGGCGCTCTAGGCTGCACTGGGCCTTCAAAAAGCTTTCTCATCTCTCTGGTTTCCACTACTAGGTGGCCACTCTGGCTTTCAACAAGCCCTCGGGACTCTACCGCCTAAAGTGGCTTTTCTATGGTTAACTTCTTTCCTTTGTCCTGAATTTCCTCTGGGAAGACGCTCTGATGGCACCCAACTCCCCCCCTACGGCTGCTTCTGTCACCGATCCCTCCAATAGTGACAACCCTGTTAGGTCTTCAGGGTTGCCCAGAGTGGGAGGATGGCGGAAGTGAGTGTGAAGGTGCCCTTCCCTCTCGCCACACTTCTCTATGATCGCTTCCTTCGGTGACGAGAAAAGGGGTCCCGGAGCTTGCGCAGAACGGGGTTGGGAGATTGTGGCGGAGGGGGGGCAGGGAGCGGGAGCTGCCGCCGCCGCCGGAGCTAACCGCGGGGACCGAGATGCAGGTGGGACCGGAACCGGAACCCCCCCTCTTCAAGTCCTTCTTCCCTCTCCGCGGTCCGGCCCCGGCGCCTCTGAGGAGCCCTGGGTGGGAGCGGGCGTGGGGGGCCAGAGGCAGGAGGGCACTCGGCCCAAGCGAGTGCAGCAGATAGGGCTGGTCCCCAGAAGACTGCGGCCCCGGGGTGGGTAGAGCGTGTCCAGAGAGTAGGGTCGGGTCAGAGTGGACTGCAACGGGCCCAGTGGGTACGAGCCAGGAGCGGAGCTTGAACCCTCCACCACCCGCCGTTCGGGAAATACCAGAACTGAGCCAAGAGGCAGGTGCACGGGGAAAATGTGTCTGAGTCCTGCTTGACAGAAGAGAAACTTCAATCACCGGCTCAGTAGCCGCAGGGTCAGCGGGCCTGAAGGGGGCTGGGTCTGCCTATGGTTAGAGGGTTGGGTGGGCCCTTGTGAGCTGAGGTGGCCTCTGTCTAGAGATTGGTTTCTCTTCTGTGTCTGCACCTCTTGGCTCAGTTTCCCTGTGCTCCATGACTCGTGCAACGACTGGCTTCTTCTCATTGGTTTGGAATTGTCCCTGTGGTTGGAGCCATCTGAGTGTGTAGGGCCTAGGCCAAGGAGGAAGGGGAGGGGTTGCTGACTGTGGTTCTGAACAGGAGTCTGAGATTTTAGGGAGACTTTCCTGAGCTACCCTCACCCCGGTCCTGCTGCCAGTCATCTTCCAGTATAATATGGGGGAGACACACTGACAAAAGAGCCATGGCTTGTAACTTCCATGCCCAGTTCTGCCATTTGCTATGTGTAAGACCTTGGGAAATCTTCTCTAACTTCTGTTCTAGAAGATTGGAATCCATAAAGATAATAATAATGGCAGTCGTTATCATGTGCTTACTTTGTCAAGCACTGACATGTTCCATTTAATTCCCCCGACAATTCTAGGGGTTGGAGATCATTAGCTCTTTTTTGGATACAAAAACTGAAGCTCAGAGAGGACATATACTTTGTTTGAGATCACACAGCTAGTAGGTGTGAGAGCCTGGATTTCTGATTGCATAACCCACGGCCTTAGCAGGCTAGCCAGCCTTTAGGGCACGCTCCCGAGTGAGAGAAGACAGCTGTGAAAAGTCGTAGGGCCCCAGCCCCCCGTAATGTTTTATTTACTTTGTGGTCAGCAAAGACTTGCCCTGACCCAACCCATAGTCTTTCTTCACCTGGTGCTGCTGCCTCTGAGCCCCAGACCGAAGGGGCACCAAAGAAGTGGGCTGTGACCATTCCAAGCCTTCCTCGTACAGCGCTTGGGTGTAGGGCTCTGGGGTCAGCTATCAAGACAGTTGCTGTTCGAATCCATCATCCATCCATCCTCCTCAGTGTGCATCCTCCCTCCTCAGAGCTGGACCTCATGATATATGAGGCAGGGTCTCTAAGCTCTGCAGACCTAGCTCCTCTGAGAGCTGGGGCAGTGAGGGGCTATGACTGAGCCTGGTCCAGCGAGTCCCTGGGGACAAGGACTATGCAGTGGGAAAAACAGTAGACTTGGAGGTCTGAAACTTTTCTGAGCTTCGGTTTCCTCATCTGTTGTAGAGGTTATTAAAGCCTCTCACAGGGAAAGGTAAGAACAGCATGTGGGAAGCATGTGATAAATATTGAAGGATCTGTTTTAGAGAAGGGAGATGACATGAAAAAGATTCCTTTTTAGAGGAAGGAGCTCCACAGCCATTTATCACTCCTGGAACTAAAGCCTGGGAAGCGGGGTTGGGAAGACAGCAGGATAGGTGCAGGCTAGACACTAGGGAGCCGGTTGTCTGGGGCTTGTGGGGTTTAAAGGTCGGGGAGAGGGAAGGGAAGCAGTTGGTGTTCTTCCCCATTGCTTTCTGAGGAGCCTAGACCAGAGTAGGGAGTCTGGCTCGGGTGGGGCTCTGCCCCCAGTCCCACCTCAGCAGTGACTCGGTGTATGTGCCTCTCTTCCTTCTGCAGCTGCTGCCGCTCACCCCGTGTCTTCTGGCCGCTTCCCTCTTTGCTGCCCCTCCCCACAGGTTCCCCCTCTCCACTTCCTGGGGACCATCATGAATGGTGCCCCTTCCCTGGAGGATGGGGCCTTCCCCTCTCCTCCCCCCTTGCCACCACCCCCGCCCCCTAGTTGGCGGGAGTTCTGCGAGTCCCATGCCCGGGCTGCTGCCCTGGATTTTGCCCGCCGTTTTCGCCTCTACCTGGCTTCCCACCCCCAATATGCAGGGCCCGGGGCTGAGGCTGCCTTCTCCCGCCGTTTTGCTGAGCTCTTCCTGCAGCATTTTGAAGCCGAGGTAGCCCGGGCCTCTGGCTCTCTCTCACCACCCATTGTGGCTCCTCTGAGTCCTGGTGTGGAGATCCCAGCACGTGACCTGTCCCTTGAGAGCTGTAGGGTGGGCGGGCCCCTGGCTGTGCTGGGCCCTTCTCGGTCATCTGAGGACCTGGCCGGCCCCCTCCCTTCTTCAGTCTCTTCCTCTTCTACGACCTCCTCCAAGCCGAAGCTAAAGAAACGCTTCTCCCTCCGCTCAGTGGGTCGCTCTGTCCGCGGTTCAGTCCGTGGTATCCTACAGTGGCGGGGGACTGTTGACCCTCCCTCCCCAGCCGGGCCCCTAGAGACCTCATCAGGCCCCCCAGTGTTAGGTGGAAACAGCAATTCCAACTCCTCTGGTGGAGCTGGGACCATTGGCAGGGGACTGGCTAGTGATGGAACATCCCCGGGGGACAGATGGACTCACCGTTTCGAGAGGCTGAGACTCAGTCGGGGAGGAGGGACCTTGAAGGATGGAGCAGGGATGGTGCAGAGGGAAGAGCTGCTGAGTTTCATGGGGGCTGAAGAGGCAGCCCCAGACCCAGCTGGAGTGGGCCGGGGAGGAGGGGCAGCTGGGCCTACCTCAGGGGGAGGAGGGCAACCACAGTGGCAGAAGTGTCGCTTACTGCTTCGAAGTGAAGGAGAAGGAGGAGGAGGAAGTCGTCTGGAGTTCTTTGTGCCACCCAAGGTGAGACCCAGAGGAGGGGGGTGACTGGGAATGAGTGATTGAGTTTCCAGAGTGGTAATAGCCTATATACATAGTTTTGCTTACTTTGGTTTTTAAAGCTAACTTCTGACTCTGAATTAGTAGCTCTGGGCAAGACTGAAAAAATAGTAGTACTCATTTTGTCTAACTCCCTTAGGATACAGAAGGAAAGATGAATCTCTGGAGGGACGGGAAAGATGGTCTTGGCCCACCAAAAATCTGGATCTCGTTCTCTTCCAACCTAGGCATCTCGGCCGCGACTCAGCATTCCCTGCTCTACCATCACAGATGTGCGGACAACCACAGCCCTGGAGATGCCTGACCGGGAGAACACTTTTGTGGTTAAGGTGGGGGCTCTGTGCTCCCCTGCCCCCTTGGAGCACCTGTGTTGGGGAAAACGCACTTAGCACATATAAGCAAGGGACATGGGTGGAGGGAGGTGCACGTGTGTCAGGTTCCTTGAGAATATGTCCCTGAGGCTACAGCTTTTCTGGGAGGAGGGGAGAGAGAGAGGATGTTCTTGTTCTTACTAGGGGTGGCTTAAGGCCTCCGGAACTGGAAATGGCCTGTGGGCCTCCTGTTGTCCCCATCATAGGTGGAAGGCTCCTCAGAGTATATCCTGGAGACCGCTGATGCTCTGCACGTGAAGGCCTGGGTGTCCGACATCCAAGAATGCCTGAGCCCAGGGTGAGGATCCTGATTCTGGCACTTAGGGGACCACGGGCTGGGTTGGGAGCGGCCTTGTGCCGCTCACCTCGTGATTTTCCTCCCAGCACCATTTTCCCTGTCTCTGCAGACCCTGCCCTGCTACCAGTCCCCACCCCATGACCCTCCCTCTGGCCCCTGGGACCTCATTTCTTACAAGGGAGAACACGGACAGCCTGGAGCTGCCCTGCCTGAATCACTCAGAGAGCCTGCCCAGCCAGGATCTACTGCTGGGACCCAGCGAGAGCAATGACCGCCTGTCGCAAGGTAAGGATGGAGCCTTGAGAACCACGAACCTCAGAACCTGCCACGTAAGACCTCTTCTGCCAGGCTCCACACCCTCTCTCCAGACTGTACTGTGTCACCCCATTCCTGCTCCTCAGCGACCCACCCCCACCCACCAATTGTTTGTCTTTTGTCCCCGAACATGCCAAGACACAGTTTGCCACTGAGGACCATCAGCATCACTGCCCCACACAAGCCCCAGCGAAACTCCTAGCCTGCTTTCTATGCCCGGCCTTGTCACCTTTTCCATAGCTTTATGCAGACCACCACTCTGGCTGGAGATAACAGGTCTCTCCTTCAGGCCTCCAGAACACTTTGTACACATCTCTGTCTTGCTCTTACTCTGTGTCTCTGTGCGTGTGTGGATGGTGCCAAATTTTCCTTTGAGTCTGTACTTGCTGGCCTGGCTAAACACACGCATCCCTCACTCACACACGTAAACACACAGAGATCCCTAAGTCTACCCGACCCCAGCACACCTTTCTAAACTCCAGTGTACCCTTTCCTCATGACCCTCCATTCTGAGTTTCAGTTTCACAGTGCCTTGCACACAGGCTGTATTCTGTGAGTAAAACAAATTATAGAATCTTAAAGCTAGAATGGACCTTGAAGCCGTCCGTTCCAATCACCTGTGTTCTCAGGCAACCAACAGCAGGGAGGAGAAACAGCGTTTCTAATCTCACCTGAGAGTCACTGACAAAGACAGGCTATGCCAGCTTGATGCCTGAGTCACCGCCCTCCACACCGCATATATACCTGTCTTCTGAGCAGCGACTATGCATGACAGTCCTGTGGGCTCAGGCCTGCCACTCAGCAGACATTTGGGAATGCCCTAGTACCGGCCTGGCCCTGTGCTAGGCTCAGGGGCAGGGTGGGGGAATGCAGACATGCCTCAGATGAGCTCCTTGCCCTCCAAAGGCTCACAGTCTAGCTGAATAAACATCACTTTCTAAAAAGCAGGACTCTAAAATGGAGAGCCTGTGCTGAGTGGCCTCTGAGCAGCACAAGAAGGAAGTACCTTTGGAGCTCAGAGGTGGACGAGAATCAGGGAAGGTGGAATAATAGCGAATATTACAAAGAGAAGGTGAGAGAAAAGAACACAGCTGGCGGGGTGGGGAAGAGCACAGCTTGGAGGAGGCACATGGTGAGAGTCGAGACCTGAGATGCAGGGAGCCTGGGAGATTGGAAAAAATTGGATGGGACAATTGGGTTAAAGTAGAAGATTCATGAATACAAGTTAATGTGAAGGTCAAGTTGGTTAGGTTGGGGAATTACTAGAAGGAAGATCTGATGCCTCTGAGAGTTGAAGGCTTTGTCCTATTGGCCAAAAAAGAACCCATTTTAATGCAAAAATATTTGAGGTATTCTTCGCTCCATTTCTACAACAGTAGCTGTTGATTCAAAAAAGATGAAGGATCTTTTGGATTCAAAGGACCTTCTTTCAGTAAGTGTAGTCCTTGAACAGTGGATGAAACAAGTTAGGAGCCATTGGTAAAAGACATCGGGGGTCCCTGCCTAGAGTAGGATCCAGCATTTCAGCCAGCTGACCCTGCCAGTGCACACGGGGTGAGGGGGCCCAGGCCCACCAGGCCTGCCAAAGAGTAGCTTCTCCAGTTCTCAACTTTGCCCCCCTCTGTTTTTTTTTTCCAGGGGCGTATGGGGGCCTCTCCGACCGCCCCTCAGCATCCATCTCCCCCAGTTCTGCCTCCATTGCTGCCTCCCATTTTGACTCAATGGAACTGCTTCCCCCAGAGTTGCCACCCCGCATCCCCATTGAAGAAGGACTCCCAGCAGGGACAGTGCATCCCCTCTCAGCCCCCTACCCACCCCTGGATACTCCAGAAACAGCCACAGGTACCAGAGGTGTGGGTGTGTGCCTATGTCCAGGTCCAGTTGCCTGCCTACTTGAAACTCTTGCCTTGGGGTCCTGAGGAATCTGACCCAGGGGGAGGGAAAGCAAGGCTTTCTTCTCCCAGGATGGGGGAAGCTTCCTTGACACCCAGGTTTCCCTCCCTCTCTCCTTCCTGAAGGGTCATTCCTGTTCCAGGGGGAGTCAGAGGGAGGTGAGGGGGACCAGCCCCTCTCAGGGTATCCTTGGTTCCACGGGATGCTCTCTCGACTCAAGGCCGCCCAGTTAGTACTGGCCGGAGGCACCGACTCTCATGGTGTTTTCCTGGTACGTCAGAGTGAGACAAGGCGGGGTGAATACGTCCTCACTTTCAACTTCCAGGGCAAGGCCAAGGTGAGTGCCCAAGGAAAGGGCTCTGTTCTACGCAGAGAGCTTGCGGGTGGAGTGGGGGGAACATTGTTATCCAGGGGAGAAGTGTTCTGTGATCGGTAGGGGCTTGGGCTCCTGCTTCACCTCGCTCATCCTACCCTCAGCACCTGCGTTTGTCGCTGAACGAGGAGGGTCAGTGCCGGGTCCAGCACCTGTGGTTCCAGTCCATTTTTGATATGCTCAAGCATTTCCGGGTGCACCCCATCCCTCTGGAGTCTGGAGGCCCCAGTGATGTTGTCCTTGGCAGCTATGTCGTGTCCTCCCAGCGACAGCAGGGTGAGCAGAGCAGGTCTGCAGGGGAGGAGGTGCCCGTGCACCCAAGAAGTGAGGAGGTGTGTGTGCCAGAAATGTGGGGTGGGGGACTGTGAGGAGCAGAGGCTTTGTTAGGGTGAGCAGGGAAAGAAGGGGCCAGTGTGTTGGGATTTCTGCGAGAAAGAAGTACACTGAGAGGAAGACAGAGGGTGCCTGGCTAGAACTGGGGAAGCAGCTGAGAGTGGGTTGGCGCATCCCCATTCCATCAGACCCTCTGTTCCATCATCTGTCTGTCTCCCAGATCCATCTTCCCAGCCTTGTCTTTGTCCTTCCTCACAGCCTTGCCTTGGGCCTGCCCTTCTAGGAATGCTCGGTTTGATATCCCTCCCACTTCCCTTGATGTTCGATGTCCCTGTCTGATCTGTCCCTTTTCCCCACCCCAACGTCCCATCTGTCCCCACGTTGCCCCTCCCCCCCAGGCCGAGAGCAGGCCGGGAGCCATGCAGGGGTGTGCGAGGGAGATCGATGCTACCCCGATGCCTCCTCCACCCTCATGCCCTTCGGAGCGAGTGACTGTGTGTAAGTGTGGTCCTCCTCTCACTGCCGCCCATGATCCATCTTCCATGGATGGGGGGTTGCTCAGGAGACTGGAAGTGGGGGAGATAGCACATGGCTCCTGGGGGGTGAGTGAAGGGGAGGCTGCTGCAAGAGCTTGCCTCCCTCCACAATCAGTCTGTCTCTTACCATTCCTATCCAGAACCGAACATCTCCCACGACTCACCCCCGCCCCCTGAACCCCCTTCATGGACAGATCCCCCACATCCTGGGGCAGAAGAGGCGTCGGGGGCGACAGAAGTGGCGGCAGCAACAGCCACAGCAGCCAAAGAGAGGCAAGAGAAAGAGAAAGTGGGCAGTGGAGGGATCCAGGAAGAGCTGGTCCCCGTGGTTGAGCTGGTCCCCGTGGTTGAATTGGAAGAGGCCATAGCACCAGGCATGGAGGTCCAGGGAGGCTCTGGATCTGGTGGGGTCTCTGGGGCAACACCGATGGTGCAGCTACAGCAGTTACCACTAGGGGGCGATGGAGAAGAAGGGGGCCATCCCAGAGCCATTAATAACCAGTACTCCTTTGTGTGAGACACCCTACCCCCACCCTTTCTCCACTTTCTTGCTCCCCAGCCCCTAGTTCCTGAGACTGGGGCTGAACAGGGACATAGAGGAGCGGTAGGCACCCCCTCCCCATATGCTTCCTTTCCCTTGATGGCCAAGGGCATATATGTTGGTACAAGAAGAGGTTCAAGAGCCCTGTCAACTCCCCAGTTCATACACTACAGGTGCCCCATCCCCTGGGGAGGGGGTTCGGGCTCCATTACCTCCCCAAGGGGCTCTTAGGTCAGCCCCACCCCTGGGGGCTATTTCCCCATTAACTACCCCCCAGCCCAAGGAAGGGTGAGGGGGAAGGGCTGTCAGTTAATGTTAAGGTGGTTGTTGTTGTTGTTTTAAACAAAATGGAGAAACATAAATAAATAAAAGGGTTTATCTCAGTTCATTGTGGTGGCTGTGGCCAGTGTTTGCAGTGGGGGCTGGGACAGGTGGGTCAGGAAGGCAGCCCACTCGTGCTGTGAGCTCCAGAGCTGAGAGACAGAGGGCTGGGTCAAGTCACGTCCCTGCCGCTCCCTTGGCCTGTGCTTTGCTCCTCTGTGGGCTGTCCTGTTTGTAGGCGGTAAGTGCAGAGCCAAACAGTGCTTCTCGAGGTCTCCAGCTGAGCTCTCTTAATGGGACAGGACAATGAACAAGCAGTGCTGACGATCTCCAAGGACCTCCTGCTCCGAATTCCTCAGCTAAGGCTTCCTACCCTGGGTAGAAAACAGGCAGAGAGAGATCATGGGGGTGGGGCTGGGGGCATGGTGGCTGTATTGGGGGAGGTTTGATGTGGCGGCCATGGAATCTGGCTGCAGAGGGGTCCAAGGACAGGCTGATTGTCCCCCTTCCCAGAGCCAAGCTGGGAAGCTGGAGAATAGATGGCAGAGACCACTGGCTTCTACTCCTGGCTTTGCCTCTTGTCGTGTGGCCTGGGCAAGGTGCAGCCACTCCAGGCCTCAGCATCCTCATCTGTAAAATAGGAAGTTGCCTCTAGGTTGGAGCTGTTGACATAATTTGCTTGTCCTGGATAATGTTTCCATTGCAATTCCACATAAAAGTTAAAGTTCAGATTATTGGCATCTTTTGAAAATCAGATGATCTCATGCGGTTCACCATCCACATTTTCTCCATCCCCACCAGATCACTTCACTCACATGACGTGCCTGGCCCTGTGGGTACTTGAGTTGGCAAAGTCTCCTCTTCCTCCTTGTGCCCACACCCCCACACCCGTTTAACCCAGGCTTTGCTCTCCAACCTGCAGCTATGCCCTCCGCCAGTGGAGGGCGCCCCCGGGCTTCCCAGCTCTGCACAAGGTGGGTGCCAACATGGAGGGGGCAGATTCTGAAGTCTTATTTCGCTTTGCCGTCTCCCCTTCCCACCTCCATTCAGCTCTGTCTCTTGCCATCCTGCCTCTCCCCTTCCCTCCCAGGCAGCGTGCTGGAGTTCTCCTGCCTCTCAGCCTCTGTCCCCACCTCTAGGCCCTACCCGTGCTTATGACCTTGCTATTCTGGGCCTTGTGTCCTGTTGGGAGATGGACAGGAGACAGCTGGGCTCACAGGCCTCCCAGGCTTGGGGCTAGCTGGGGGAAGCCTGCTGGCTCTCCCAGTTTTGTTTAATCCCTGGGACTCCCCAAAACCTTGGCTTCAGGAGACTGGAGATGGAATTGGCCTTGCAAAGGTGGGATGGTTTGGGGATCTGGGTGCTATATATTTTAAAAGGGAGATGGTGAGAAAAGATTATGGTGTCCCAGCGTAGGCAGGACCTGATCCTCTCCTAATCTAGCAGCAACTGGTGCTACCAGGCTCCCCCTCCCCCTAAACCCTGCCAGCTTTCTGGGACTTGCCTTGTGAAGATGGGTGGGGAGGGGTACATGGACCCTCCTGTACCCCAAGATTCGTATGCCTTGGCTGGAGGAACCTGAGACTATTTCCCTCTTAGCTTTTATGGAACGTTCAGTTCAAGTTTGGAATTGGTCAGGGATGGGCCAGCCTCTGTCTCCATGTCCTTCAGAATTAGACCTCTCCCATTCTGGGCGTCAGCCCTCAGATAGGAAGGGAAGAACACCTGCCAGCTCTGGGCTTGGAGACCCCCAGTGGGAGGGATCCGAGAGCACAAGGGCCTCCTCGTGAGCCTTCTTCCATCCCAGTTCACCCTGATGGTGGTGGCGTTTGCAGCTCTTGGCTGGTACTTTCCCTTTCTGGCTTCATGTTCCCCCTCTGGGAAGTTGAGGGAGGGGGATACCACTATCCTTAAAGGGCCCTGTTGGCAGCAGTGTCCTGTAAAGCCTGCCTCCTTTCCTCAGCCTTATGCTCTCAACTCCCTTGAAGCTGTGATCTGTCCAGTCTTCTCCCCCTTCTCCATGTTTGGGCATTCCTGCTTCTTTAAGACAGTGCTCCTGTCACTCCTCCAGGTGGTGGCGGGGAGAAGCCAGCCAGTGCAAAAAGCTTGGCAGATGCTGAGCCTGACTTTGGCCTAAGAAGGTGGGTGGGTGCTGGGCCAGGTGGAGGTGCCTGTCGGTGGACACTCATACCCCATTGTCTGAGCCCCCCTTTCCCCAAGTCACAGGAGGATTCTGCTTTAGGGGAGGGGTTTGTCGGAACCATGAAGAGGGGGAGGGAAGGAGTCCCGTGTCCTTAACTCACCCTGGAGGCTGCCCTCCCCTAAATCTAGGAGGAGGAAGGGATGAGTGTGGGGGACTAAATCCTTAAGTGTCATCTACTCCTGCTGGCCTACCCACTCTCCAGAAGTGGGGCTTCCCTTTCCTTTGCCTCACTGTCTCCTATACCATTGTCTGCTTAGGAACTTGAGCACCAGAGAGGGAAGTAGCCTTGAGAACCCATTGAGTAGACTATAATCCTCACTGTTCATTTCAGGAAATTGAAGCCTAAACCGAGGAAGGAGTTGAGGTCAGGGTCGTGGGGCTGCCTCCCCTCACTGACCTTTCACTATTACTGTCATCGAAACTCTCTCCTCTCTCTGCCCTCCTTTACTCCCGGCCACACACCCCATGCTACCCTCCCGCTGCTCCAGCAGCTGCCCTTGTAATAACCAAAAGATGCCCCCATCCCAGAGTGGGGGTGGGGTGGGGGGCTCAGCAGCTGCCTCTCTGAGGAAGCTGACACCAAGGCCAGCCGCTCAGCAACAACTTGTGGCTTTGCACCCAGCCCGGGGCCCCCACCTACCTGGCTGCCACATGTCAGCTCTCTGCTGTCCCTTTTCCCCACTGCTCCTCAGACTTCCCTCTGACCCTGGCAACTCTGCTTCTGCTCCCCCAGCTCCATTCTGTCCTTATTTTCTCTAGACTTGTCCTCATTGATCTGCCCCTGTCCATGCCTTTTGTCTGGAGCCTCTGCCGCATGCAGCTTCCCTGGGCCCCTTTCCGTGATGTCCCCTCCCTCGTGCCTCTTCCGATGGGGTGTGCCCAGGCTCAGAGCTCCGATCCTCCCTCTCTTTGAGGACAGCTACTTCAGGGCCAGGTGCGGTGCAGACCACAGGCTGTCTGGGGTCTGCCAGGTAAACCCCTTGGGTTAAAGAGAACAGTGTAGAATGAGGTAACCCTTATTCCATGACTTGGGGTGACCCCCAGCCCCATCCTAAAACACTTATCCCTCCCCCTCTGCCATCAGCACATTCTGTATGTAGCCTCTTGGGTTACCTTGCTGCCTGGGTATCCCATTTTCTTCAGGGCGGGGATTCACTTTTAGGGATGGGGGGGCCCTGAAGGCTATGTTCCCAGAGGCTGAATTAGAGCAATGGGGGTGGGGGGAGTTTAGGGGAGAGACAGGCAGTCCTGGCTTTGCTCACCAGGGCCTGGACACTAAATCCCTTGTTGATGGCTGCAGCAACCCCTCCCTAGGGTAGGGTTACCGTCTTCTGCTCTGTCCCCTTGACCCTCTCCCCTCCCTGTGTCCCCTTATTCCTCTGGAGCCGCTTCCTCTAGCCCCCAAAGGATGTCCTCCCCCCCTTCAATCCCCTTAGGGTTGGAGTGTCTCTGCTGTACTTTAAACAAACGAGGTGAGGAAGGAGGCCGCCGTGGACAAACAGGTTTAGGGTGGATGATGGGAAGTGGGAGCTGTGAGGAAAGTGGAAGGCGAAGGCCTGAGAGTAGAAGTGGGCTTAAGGGAAGACCTGGAGGGATGGGTTTGGAATGGGAAATTCAGTGCAACTGAGGAAGTTGAGGCAACTGGGGGAGGGGTCAGTAGCAGATGACAGAAAGTGAAGTCTCTCCCTAAAACCCCCTCCTTCCCTGTGGCTGGGGCCACCTTAGCTTCCCTCTGAGTGACATCTCAGGCTGCAGCCCCACTGTTCCCCCTCTGTCAGCAGAAATATCTCTCTTCTGACCCCTCCTGCTGGAGTCTCCGCCAGCCAATCCCTGATCTGGGTGAGGGGGGAGCCTGGCCCCCCCCCACTCCCTCATAAGGACCAGCTGGGGGCTGGGGGTGGTGGCCGGCTGCTGCAAGTGGTTCGGGGGTCAGAGCTTCGTGAAGGGAAGAAAAACCTGGGGGGGGGCAGGAGAGAAAAAGGAAGAAACCCAGACAAACAGGCAGGCAAACACACTGAGGAAGGACCCCCACGCGTGAGAACCCCCCAGAAGGAACACCGCCCCCTGGCCCCCAGGAAGGGAGCACAATGGAGGCTGCACACTCCAAGACCACAGAAGAATGTCTGGCTTACTTTGGCGTGAGCGAGACCACAGGCCTCACCCCGGACCAAGTGAAGCGGCATCTGGAGAAGTACGGCCCCAATGGTAAGTGTTCTTTGGAGGAGAGGCTGGCAATGCCCTCTTGAACCCCCACAACACCCACACTCGAATACCCTGGAGGCTCTCCCTCCGGGGTGTCTTAGGGTAGAGCTGGGCTGGGCTCCAGCAACTACAGTGGGGAAGAGGATACTGACAGAACAGGGTCCCCAAGACCCAGAGTTTGGGAGGTTTTATGGGATGACCTTGGTGAACCTCAGATGCCCTATCGATGGTCTGATTCTCCTACCTTAGTCACACACTCCTGGGTGTGGGGGCCATTGGACTGAACCCCAAATGAATATGTCCTTTTCTTCTTTTTCCCTGGGTAGAGCTCCCTGCTGAGGAAGGTAAGTTACTGGAATCCCTGAGCTGTCATAAATGACCCCCTCTTCCCTCAGTGCCCCACTTCGTTCTCCCTGCCGCCTCCCTACCGACTCCTGGGCAAACACCCCTCCCCAAAAGTTAGAGTCTGGCTGGGGACAGAAGTTTCCGGGCACTTGCTCCTTGAGGCATCCAGCCCTTGAACAATTGCCCATCGCTTAGAGGAAGGAGCCTGTTTTTGGAGCCTTGGCCAGCTCCTTCCGCCTTCTGTAAGTTCCAAGTGGCCTGCCCATGGCCCCAGAGCCTCACTGTTCCAGGCTGGAGGTCAGGGCACTTTCAGTCTCTGGAC